CATGTAATAACACAGCCAACCCAATAGTTAATTATTAAATTCTTAACTTCCGGTGGTCCAAACGCTAAAAGGTAAAACTTAAGTCGAYCTAKCCTTCGGCTAGTCCGACTAAAAAATTGGTCTGGGATAGGGTAGGGGTTTTGAGAGGTGTTGCGGCACCCCCACCCAAGTTGGGGAGGTAGTACCCCCAACATGCAACATAGCGGCGATAGTTGCAAGGGATTCTTGACAACTCTTGACAACCCAAGAATACAGTCTATAAGAATTCGTCCTTTATCAGCCACTACTAGTGCAAGCTGCGTGATTTTCTGCCTTGTCATCAAGGCTTTCATTGTTTGGTAACTAATCCAGTGCTGTTCTTTTGTGGGGGGCAGTGAAAGGCGCAAAATATGGGGTTTTAACGTCATAATACCACCGGTCGAAAAGGATCATTGATAGGAAAACATTGTGGCATGCATGGTAAATTTGCATATCTCGGTCTGGACGGCCATTGTGAAAGTATAGAGATTTTGCTAAGTCTCGTCAGGTAAGTCTTTGCATCAAACCTTTTTTATTTCCAAGAAAATCAGTTCAGTTTCCTTAAAGGTTTTCTCCTCGCGTAAAAGCGTTTAGTTCARTTCARTGTGTATTAGTTCTGGACAGTTCGATTTAATGGCGAATCACGGCTGTGGTTGTGCTCAATGTAATTTAAGGTAATCACACTGTAAATGGCTTCGTTTGATTCTGACCACACTGAACTTATTATTATTACTACCAACAGCGCGAGATTCCCAGTTTCTGTATCCTAGAAACCGTAACGTATGTAATTTTACAAACGGCAACAATAGAATCAGCATGGAATGAACTTATGCTCATCATGTACAGAAACCGTGTGTGCCGCGGATTTTGACTGTGCCTCCCTATAYCCTTCGAGAATAGAAATTTTTCCATGTTCTTTTTCCTTTTCTTCGTAGAAGGGGGTGGAAAAATTTATCTACTTGCACATGGAGGTTTTCGCCAAGAAAAATCTACCCTGGTTCCAGAGGCTTGTCTTTCATTCTTTTGGTTACTATGTTATTGAGCCTCCAAGCGGTAAGACGTTTCTATTAATCGGTTTGTTTTTCCGGCTGATTAACGATTAGCAAAAGAATAAACGAMAAGSCTCTGCAGGTTCCAGGGTAACAARAATCATTGAAATCCACAAGAAAACTCGCCGAAATCTACAAGCTCATCAAATTCGCACGGTTTACTTTCTTAATGATCCGCAAATTCTCCATTAGAAATATCCAAAATCCGAAAATCTTCACCGTAAAAATACCTGAATTCGCCGATCCGAAAACCCACGTCGTCACAGGAAGTGCCAGAAAATTATTCGATACGCATATTTCTCAAAACAAATCAACTTGACTAAGGACAAAAATCATTCGTGCCACAGCAATCTTTATCGTCAATAGTGGGAACTAGCGGCAAACCAGTGTGAAGCTGCGTCGGTGTTTCTAAAGAAACAGTTATGTAAAAAGATAAATATAACACCGTAAAAAAAGTATGTGAAATAACTTACTGACGTTTCGGACGTTAATCCTTCGTCGGAGTAAAAGATAGATTTATTGGGATAAAGGGTTTCTCATTAGGATTAAGCACCATACATGCAGGTCATTATAGCTGCAAGAACCAAAAGCCATGTTTATGGAGGAGACCGTGGGAGATGTTTACATTGTCATATAACAATCTACATCTAGTTTCACATATCAAATATTTAAGAGATAATCTGATATGTCTTTGTTATATACCCATTGCTCATTCCTCATCCTCCTAGCAACACTCATTATACATTTCTTACATGAAATATCGAGGGAATTACATGGACACAGTYAGGTATCAATTTTATCTATAAGTATGCAATTGATATCTCTCAATTGAGTACAGCGAATGGATGAGATATATTCATTGAATCTAAGAAGATAAATAGAGGATATTACATGGGCACGCAGTGATATAGATTTCATTTTCGAGTGTTCCTTTGATATCTCACAAATGAGCAAAGCAAACAAGTGATTTATCATTGGAATGCAAGAAGATAAAYTTGCATATTCCCAAGCATGCATGTAATGTTCTGCTTATTATATAAACTCAAATTTATATCTATAAGGCTAGAAATAGCGCAGATTTGTACGKAGTATCCATGGTAACATGTTATTTTCACTTTTACAGCTGATTTTCTGATATTTCATTAAAGTTTATATAATAAAAACTGATATTTCATCAGTATCTATCCTTCATAGCTCATCGTATTTATCATTTACATAGTTGAACAATTGAATGGTAGAACTGTTAGAGGACTATAGCACTTGGTAGAGACTTGATCAYCAACCACAGGTATCCCAAGACATGTGTTTCATCAATATTGAAGCAAATGTCCTGAAACTCCACGGAATTGTAAAGAAAAACACAACACATAAATAGAGTTGTTAAATTTTTATTGAAATTTATATATTTYGAAAGTTGCTAAAAACCACACAAACACCTAGCTTTGGATACCTGTGCATCAACTATCAGCAAACTACTTGAGCTTATGCCTGCATTTCTTCTTGGTTTCTCCAGCCCAAACTAGGAATGCCTGGCTAAGCACCAGAAGAAAGCTTCACACCTCATGCTTAGCCTATCTTTTTGTTGTCACAGCTATTGTGCTTGTGTTGTGGTGTCCTAGTTTACATGGTATTATGGTAATTATACTGAATTATCTCTACATTTCATAGTTACGACTGACTTATAAGTCAAAATGGTTCCTACATTACGCATGTTCATGTGTTGACTCAACGCTGAAAGTCTTTAAAATGAAAGTTATAAAGCAGAACTAAAAAAATAGCGCTTCAAAAACTCATACATAATTAATGAGTTATTAGGCCAATAGAATGGACCTTTATATCTGAAAAAGGTCAGCCTTATTAGTATTCTTTATATAAAGAATACTAATAAGGAGTGTTTTATCAGATATAAAGGTCCATGCATGTGACCAAATAGGCTCATTCTATTGGCCTAGTAGCTCATTAATTATGTATGAGTTTTTTAAATACCGAATACTAATAAGGGTGACCTTTATCAGATATAAAGGTCCATGACCCTAGCAAAGGTGTCAGGTTTGAAACCTGATCATTGACCAATGGAGGATGTCAACCGAATGCAGTAAACAGGCAACAGCAATTCTATTTTACTTTATGCGTATTCAATGTGGGATGATAAGAGTGCTTTGTAAATGATTCGCGCACGACCAGTTTCCCCCATTTATCTCAAAATTTATTTTTAGGCAATTTCTCCAAGAATTTCAACGTATTTGAGTTTCAAATTAGTGTTGGAGTTTTTGAAGCCCTCTCTCTCGTGTTTTAAACTATACATAATATTCGTCCACACGCATATTTGAGAATACTAATGCATACGTTTTTCACAGCGGATTTCTAACGTAGCGTGATGACTCAAACTCTCATCGAATGTGTGTCAGTTTCCTGTGTAGACGTATCTGAGGTCCCTACTATTTTCCTCTCGCTAACAAGTCTTTGTTGTGAGAGTGCAAAAAGTCTTTTCATATTATATTCGAGCACGTATGGAAAATGAGTCATGGCTCTGATGTACACTGATATATTCAATCCCGTTGCATAGATACCACAAAAATTCATTAGTCACTCCAACGAACTGATCTCATACTTTAATGGTTAGAACATGCATAGCGCTGGTTAGACTATTAGTGCTCTTTCTTGAAGTCTTTGAAAATTAGCCTTCCATGTTTATATCAGCGCCGTGTACATGAACAACTAGTTGTACGCTGATATTTCTCTTTCTGTTAAATGTTAACGGTGTTTTTATCTCGTACTTATGCCTGCATATTGTTGCAGATTCCTTTGGTTCTCGGTACAAGATGAAGTGCCCTTGTTCAAGAAGACGAGCGCTGCCAATCATCCTCTTAGTTGCCTTTCTTTTCTACATCGCTCTTGCCCTAAGAATTTTTAGCAAGCAAGGAGTACATCGAATAAATGATGCCCTCCAGGAGTTTTCCTCCAAAGTACACAGGACAGAACGAGTTCCACCATTTAGTACGATAACAAGTGAGAAACCTCCATGCCTNTACATGTCTGACCTGACATGACATGTGATGACTCAAACTCTCATCGAATGTGTGTCAGTTTCCTGTGTAGACGTATCTGAGGTCCCTACTATTTTCCTCTCGCTAACAGTTTTCATATTATATTCGAGCACGTATGGAAAAAGTCATGGCTCTGATGTACACTGATATATTCAATCCCGTTGCATAGATACCACAAAAATTCATTAGTCACTCCAACGAACTGATCTCATACTTTAATGGTTAGAACATGCATAGCGCTGGTTAGACTATTAGTGCTCTTTCTTGAAGTCTTTGAAAATTAGCCTTCCATGTTTATATCAGCGCCGTGTACATGAACAACTAGTTGTACGCTGATATTTCTCTTTCTGTTAACTGTTAACGGTGTTTTTATCTYGTACTTATGCCTGCATATTGTTGCAGATTCCTTTGGTTCTCGGTACAAGATGAAGTGCCCTTGTTCAAGAAGACGAGCGCTGCCAATCATCCTCTTAGTTGCCTTTCTTTTCTACATCGCTCTTGCCCTAAGAATTTTTAGCAAGCAAGGAGTACATCGAATAAATGATGCCCTCCAGGAGTTTTCCTCCAAAGTACACAGGACAGAACGAGTTCCACCATTTAGTACGATAACAAGTGAGAAACCTCCATGCCTTTCGGCAGTGTCTAAGAGGTGGAGGTTCATGTACAATCCGTCAGAACATTTTGGAAAGAGTAAGTTTCCCCTCATTACACCACATGTTCAACCGAATCTSACTTGTGAAGAAARAAATCTTTATATTGTGGTCGTTGTGAATTCTGATGCTAATGCTATTAATCATCGAGATTTGAGAAAAGCTATTCGACAAACATGGGGCAATTCAACTAATGATGCCAAGTGGAAACTTTTTTTTTCGCTTGGAATGACACCAGATAACGACAAAAACAGATATAACGARCATGATGCGCTTCAACATAACGATGTTATCATTGGTAAATTTAACGACACTTACAGAAACATTCCTATTAAAACCTTTATGAGCCACTGGTGGGCGTACAATACGTTATCGTGTCAGTACGTACTCAAGACGGATGATGACGTTTACGTACGTGTTCCCAGACTAACGCAATGGTTGACGGATGCAGGTTCTCCTTTCCGTTTCTACGGTGGATATATCAACCAGGYACCTTTCGTATTTCGCGATCCAAAAAGCAAATGGTATATTTCTGTTGAACAATTCAAAGAAAAGAAGTGGCCTACMTTTTGTCACGGTGCTTTCCAAGTCCTTTCAGTAGATCTTTTACCGGCCTATTTCTACTATACGCAAGTTCACTATCCATTTCACACTGATGATGCATATATGGGTGTTTTGGCTAGAGACTTTGGAGTTAAAGTTACGGGATTACCTGGTTTTACTACTAAGACTAAGCCTAAAACGAACTGTGAATATTTAGCTGCCACAGCTTTCGGTCACGATATCGATCCTACATATATGGTTAGAATACACGAGACTTACAAGAAACTAGCCCTCGACAAGACACTTAAATGTTAAATGTATTGAATACTTCAAGTGACTTTTATAACGCTTGAATTTTTTTAATTTAAATCAATTTGTGTTTGCATCAACCAAAAAAACAATTGGATGAAAAAAAAATTACGAATGGTTAAAAAAAACCCTGAAACGAATGAGAAAAACTATTTATCAAACTTACGCAGGGAGGGGAGTGGCATTGGCAAAAGGACTT